TACACGGCCTCACCGGGATCCCATTAACCTCAAGAAAGGACCGGAAAACGCTCTCGGGATCCCTTTTCTCTCACAAAACAACCCTAATAATGACGGGGTTACCGGAAACGGCGGCGGAAACTGTGAAAACAGCGACGTAAGATGACCTCGGGCGCGCGCTACGCGACATCAGCTCGGCATTTAAGTAGATTATAACTGATCTCAAGGGACCTCGCTCCAGGCGAGATCCATTATCTGATCTTGGCATATCTTATCTCAGGCCCAAGGCCCAAAAGGACCCTAATTCACACTAAGGTACGTGCATTACTTATACGAGACTCATACTCCCACAAACACTAACTTTAGCATCGGAGTCTCTTTTGCAGGTACTACCCCCATATTGGAGCATCGAGCGTACTAGTGGAGGAGGCTCACCGATCTTACCTGGCGAATCAGCTCTACAACAAATTTCCGGTAAGAACAACATCTTTATATAAAGAATGCTCTATCTTTTGGTAGGTATTTGTCCTTTTAACATTCAATATTATAATTTTCATTAATTTGAGTATATTATGGTATACTTTTTATCTTAAAAGTTATTTAAGTAAAATAAAAGATTAATTACGGTTTGATTTGATTGAAATTTGAATGAATTATATAATTCGAACTAAATTAAATCAATTTTTTTTTTAATTTAGTTTGGTTTGGTTTCATCAGTTTTAGATTTTGTTATTTAAAAAATTTAAAAAATGTAATGTTATGATATTTTTTTAAAGATAATATGTGAAAAATAAAATATAAAATATATAAATACTAAAGTATTTTGGTCACTTAATGTATTTAACACTAATTCTTATGTTATTATTTTAGTAAAAATATTTCTTATATAATTTTAGTTATCATATTAAATATTTTTTTCATACATAGTTTGTCACTTAAAAAAATATTTTTGACTATTATAAATAATTCATAATTTTTTATTTTAAAATTTAGCTTAGTAACTTATAATTTTATAAGATACTTTTTTATAAATATTATAACGGGTATTTGGAGAGAAAAATAATTTTTAGTAGCTTATAATTTTATATTATGTGTAAATTTTGTAAACATACATTATGCGATAATAAATTTGGTTTGATTAGAGAGATTTCGCATTCCAATTCGAAAATAGAACCAAACAACATGATTTTGAAAATTTAAAAATCAAATCGAATTGTTAATTTATGATTTTTCATTATTTTTTTTGGATCGATTTGTGATTTTTCGTTTTGGTTGATTCGATCTTAAAAACTCATGAAAAATATGATTGAAATGAAAAAATCTCTTGACATACAATGATGATAAAACACACAACAAAAAATAACAATAGAAAATAAGAAAAAATTACACAAAATTATTTAATGTTGATTCGATCTTTAATAACTACATCATGATAATATCTCCATGAATATTCATCACCTCAAATTTATTTAATGTATTTTGGTCCCTCGTACCTATGTCAATGACATCTCATAGGATTATCCTCTCTTATTTAAGGTGGCCCTTCTTATAAGTTAAGCATTTATTTTAATTTCAAGAGTTTTTATTTATTTATTGACTTCTTACATTCCAACATTATAAGAGGGTTTGAAACACCATATCTAAAATAAATATAATTTCAATTATAAATAACATTCTAAAGAAAAATAATATATTTTAAATATAATAATTACCTTAAAGAGTTGAAATTAAATATTTGAATTGTTATTCCAACAATTTCTCCCTCAATTAAAGCTTTCAAATTAATTTTTGTTATTATGGATGTTCATCATACTCATCGTGAATCATACTCTTGCTATGCAAAATTTTGAGTGTTCTTGCCTCTTCTATGAATATTTATTATCTAAAATTTATTTAAAGTAATTGGGTCCTTCATTCCTAAGTCCATGATAACATTTCATATATATAATCCTCCCTTTTTCATTTAGGGTGACTCCCTATATAAAAAATATCTATTGGCTTTTGCACCCTAATATTATAAAAAAGACTGAAATAAATCTTTAAAATAAATAATATTTTCAATTTTAAACAACATCCTAAATAAAAAATAATATATATTAAATTTAAACAATATGTTAGAGATTTAAAGTTGAAAATTTAAATTATTATCCCAATTCCTTTCTTATTTAAGATTTTCAATTTCATGTTCATCTTCAACTTTTAATTTTATGAATGTTCTTCATAATCATTCATGCTCTTGTTATGCAAATTTTGAGTATTTCTTACCTCCACCCTACAAGTATTAGATGAACTTGTACCATCGTTAGTTATTTCTAATAGAACAATCACTTGACTTCGACATCGTCAGTAAAACTTTCAACAAAAGGATCTCACATGGATCCATCATTACTTTCATCAAATTTTGGTACTTGCGTGATACATCATTAGGCCACTAATTATTTTTTTTTTTAATTTTAAAAAGGAAAAACAAAAAAAAAATGTTTAACATGAGAACATTTTGAAAAAAAAAAATTGTCTTCTTTAGTTTTCTTTTTAAAAACAATTATCTATTTTTTTTCAATATTTTATTATTATATATTTTCTTTGTGTTACCATGTTTCTTTTCCCAACTTGCTCTGTTTGATCCCATTGTAAAAATTATTTTTTGAAAATAGTTTAGGAAATAATTTTTAAAAGTTATAAAAAAAAAATACAATTAAACTCTATCCAAATATTTGAGATTTTATGATGGATTAGTATTTTAGTTTGTACAATGTATGAGCAAATTAAATAGTTATTATATATAACTAAAATTTGTAATAAATTATATATAAAATAAATATTATATTTGAATACATAAATTATATTAAAAATTTGTATAAATAGATATTATTTTTAAAATATCAAAAATTAATTAATAAATAATTATGATACATAAAAAAAATTAGATAAAAAGTTAAAAAAAATTTAAGTCTTCTCGTCGAATAAAAATGTCTAAACATACTTGTGCAAGATAAAAATTCTTATTTAATATGCAAGAGTTGGTAAATATTTATTATATATAACTCAAATTTATAATAAATTATATATATATATATATGTATCATATTTGAATATATAAATTATATTTAAAATTTGCATAAATAAGTATTATTTTAAAATATTAAAATTTAATTCATAAATAATCAACCCATATATATTAAATATGAACATTTGTCTTGTAACACTATACCTAGGTGGAATTGGGTGAGTTATGATAGTCTCTAGCTTGGAATTCAACGGACCCTAAGAAAAGACAGTATATAAGATTTCTTTTGAGAATTGAGCCTTATAAACTCAACTTCTTGGAGACCTATGAAAAAGAGTAGTATGAGAAACTTTGAAATTCTGAAACCTCTTCTTCTTTCTTCTAGATTTCTCGAAGATGTGAGAGGTTCTTTTGATCCTTAGTGAAATGATTAAAGCATTCAGAGGCTGAGAATCTAAGTTTAGGTGGTTGCGAATCTTGTGAATGCTCGAAGTTCTTCCTTCTCCCCTTCCTTGATTTTAGTTGGCTCATAATTAAGATAAGGAGAGTTAGGACGAAATTGTTGTTTAAATTTTGATGAAATGGTTGTTATTGATGTTGTTTTCATCAAAAGGTGTGCATATATATGTGTGTGTGGGTGGGTGGGTGTGTGGGTAAATCAAATTGAGAGGTTGGGACCAGAGGATTTTTGAATGTTAAACTAAAGTTGTGATTTGGGCCAATTCTTGGATAATTGTTGATTGCATGCCTTATTTTGGTGTGAAATTAGGAATGACTTGTATATGGTGTTGGTTGCAATGCATTTGTTGGATTTCCTATATTTCAAGTGATTGAGGGGATTTTTGAAGTCTACATTCATAAATTACTAATATCACGTTGGGCACGTTTTCGTGGCATAAGGCATAGTTCCAACCAAGGTTCTTTATCTCGATCACACCAAACACAAGATCAGTGGCGTCAAACGTAAAGAGAGAGACTCATCTCGAGTTAGGATGGTGTCGGGTGTGGTTTGAATGGTGTTGGACATGAAAGCATGGGAAAGTCTCTGGCTTGGTGACATTGGGCCCCAATTGGGTGACACCAAGTGTGATCAAGATAAAGGCTCCTTATCTGAAGGACGTTAGGCACCACTAAGGTGATGTTAGACATGAGTTTGATAGAGGCTTTCTGCTTGATATGAGGTTAACCATGGGTTTTATCACGCCAAGCGATTGGTCTCGAGCGGTCTCCACATCGATCACATGTGGATGGTGTTGGGCATGAGCAAGATAGAAAATTTCTTGTCTCAATGACACCGAAAACAAGGTATGTTGCGTTGGGCCCGTGATGCTTGGATGATGAGTATGTTTTGGAATGTTGTATGATGAACATGAGTAGATGTATGAGTTCTATTTCATGTATGAAGTGTGAAGATAGTAGTTATATGTATATTATTGGATATGACATGTGTGCAAATGTTTGTATGGTGTTGGGTGATGATAAACATATGTATGTTGTATATATGTATGATGTTATTGATCTTTATATGCATTAACTAGATGCGATATATATATATATATATATATATAGATGATGCTTGCATGAGGTGTGAATGCTGAGAATGCAGTATCACATTAAGACATGTCGCTAACTTAGGACTTAAGGGGAGAAAAATGTTTTGAAACTGAAGATCTGACATAGGGAATCTTGGAGTGGTGCTCTAGTAGGCCACTATTGGAAAACCCTCATTGAGTATGTATGTTTCTTGGAGTGGGTTTTGAGGTATGTTAATGTCTCCTCTAGGTCCTTAGTTAGTGGTTAACTAAGGTAGGAAGTCGAGGGCTATAACATTTAACCAAGTACCTGGAAAGGTTATGCAATCTGATTTGATAAAAAATAAAGAACAGAAGTTATGATCAATAATCTGCTACTTGCTTTGATAAAAGCATTTTTTAATTCCTTTAAGACAAGAAAAGCAGGGAATAAGCTGTCGTAACTTGAACTAAAAGGAAGAAACAACATTGAAACCATCAAACTATGAACAATGATCAACATATTTGCTGATCATAAGACATGATGGCATTTTATCATTAGAACAAGCATATAAAAGAGCCATTTGAAACAAACCATGAATGTCAATCACAGAATTTCAAGATGAAAACAAGAATTGACAAAATCAAGAGGGGTTTGGTTTCTTGAGCGAGCATGATGCTTTAAAAGCCTCAATCTGTGACTGACATTTGACATAGTCTCCCTTATTCTCTTCCAAACACTTCTTCAAAGCCTCAACATCACATGATGATATTATTTTCTTCACACTGCTGCCATCCCCTGCTTTCTGATCCATAATCTCACTTAAGAATACAATTGTTTTGCTTCTACGTTTTACATCAAATACCAACTAATTAAATCAAAATAACCGTATCACATACAAAAAACAAAAAAGACTAAATTTTGGAATTAAATAACAGCATAACATAAGCATCAAGTAATCCAGTCCATTGTTATGTCACCTAAATTGCTTGAAAATAGAAAAAACAGAATCTGTAGTGAAGGAGGAAGCAAAATAGAAAGAATGATGCAAAAATCCTGACCTTTGACCTTGAACTGCTTCTCGACCATAATGGTCTTAACTCCAAATCTGAATCAGCATGTATTATACCTCATGGCAAGCCTTTCAACTCCAAGGGGTTACAGGATATGCCTGTACCAACAGGTATAAAAAATGAATCCAAGTTTCAAAATAATTTTTGACAAGAATTTGTGAACACACAGGTTCATCACAAATTTTGAAAGCAATCATTGCCATCATTTACTATAAAGAGAAGAGCGTTTGTAAATAATAGAAGATCTAATCTGAAAAAAAGAGAATCAAAAAGCTACTTGGTCTAGTAATCTAAATTCAAAGATTTTACCTTTGGTTCTCCCTAGAAACTTCAAGACCTCGGCATCAGTATCCACCTCATAATGGTGCATCACCTCCTTCTCACGAAACTCTAACAAGGGAATCAGAGCTTCGCCCACACACCCACATCATCACTGTAATCAGATTTGGAAGATCGAAGACGAAAGAGACAAAAAAATATGATTTTGTTGAAAAGGTACGCTATGAGGCCGCGATGCTCGTCCCCGCCATCGGCGAGCGACACGACGAGCCCTATGGAAGCTTTCATTGGCCCGAAGGAGGTGGACGCTGCAGTGGAGCCTATGTCGAAGGACATGAAGGGGATGCTGAAGTTCAGTTGGAACGGTGGATTGGGCACGCGTCGTTGCTGGAGGTAGGGCTGGCGCAACGGGGTTTCTGGCAAAGAGGAAAGCCACCGGCGGGACTTTGAACTCTTTATTAGCCGTCACATTGGTGGGAGGAATTAGGGTTTTGAGAAGGTTCAGGAGTTTCATTATGAGTTGAGAGAGTAGCAACCACAAATGACGGTGTCAATTTTTCAAATTTGAATTCTACATCGGTTACTATCAAAACCGATGTAAAATTCTTCGTATTTACATCGTTCCTCTGCCAAACCGATGTAAACATGTTTATATTTTCCACTTAATTACACAAATTCCACCGCGTTCTTCTTTTACATCGGTTCTACTTAAACCGATGTAGATGTGACGATGTAGAATAGTATTTTTGTAGTAGTGACTTCACATGTGACTTGGTAATGCATGTCAAGATCGTGATACACCTATACCTAGTTGTACCATTCCTAATGGTGAAACCAAAGTTTTATAATGTAAGTGACAAAACCCAAGACATCAAAGGAGGGATTGTTATCCTATTTTGTTGTGATTGAGTCAGCACTTTAGGTGCAAGAATGATTGAGTTGGTTCGGTAGGGTGAAGTCACTTAGATTGCTCATGTTGTTAGGAGATCTCCATAGGTGATGTGTGACAACGAATTGTTTGAGGTACTTGCATATGTTGTATATTATGGTGTGCTCATATGCATTATTGGATGTCTTGTGTTTAACTTTCATATATGTTTATGGTATGATGTTGTATGATATAGAATTGTTTTCTATGCTTACATGTATCCGAACTCTATCTTTTCCCTTTATTTTCATGTGATTTGGATTATAATATGATCATACGTTGTATGAGACCAAATTAAGATTATGTTGGAAGAGTGGGTGCTAGCAAATGGAGGGACGACTTTTGTTGGTATCAATGCTACTTTATGTCATTTGTAAAGGTGTACTTGACTAATACTAGGTTATATAGTTTATCTTAGAATTTATGTATATACATGTATATGATTTATATTTGTACAATTATTATACTTTTATATTTATATTATATGTATATTCATGTATTTGTGAGTTAAACTCTATATGAAGGTTTTAGATAAAATAAATTTGAATGAGAGATCAAATTGTTTAATTTTAAAACAATGAAATGTAGGAACATTATAAAAAAATAACTTTGAACAAAAATCACATGTTGTGTTTGAAAATCAGTTGAGTTAAAATCATTTAGTATTGAGTTAAAAAAAAATCTCACAAACTTTTACTTTTTTATATTGAAATATATATATATATATATATATATATATATATA